ATTTGTCATATATGACATTGCACTCATTTTTGAATTACCAAAATATAGACCAGGACACACAGAATGTTAAATTCAACATGAGTGCAGTGATATTAGGCACGGAGATAGATATGAGCAAGGACATTCTCGAGTATACGGTTCAGTATCCCATTAAGCAGGGCCAACAGAAACAACTGACGATTAAACTTGCCATTCCCCTATTCAATGCTACTATTGAAACCGATGTCAAAACTAGCCTGAGTGGAGACCATGGTGATCTATTTTGTGGAATATTTCATGCTCAACTTGAAAAACAAATTGCTGATTGATCATTTAAATATTATTAATTGAATATTATATTATATTTCATTTAAAAATAACAATTATAAAGTGAATACTTTTTATTATTGACATTTATTTGTAAGGTTGATTTAATTTAATTTAATTATTACAAATATTATAATAATTTTTAAAATATAATATTTTAATTATCTATACAATATTTTCACATGTTTGAAATTGTTTACTAAATTCGTAGCAAAATAATTTTTTTACAAATTATAATAATTTTAATCTGTAGTACATTTTAAGTTATACTTTAGTATATACAATTAACCTTTCATAAATTGTTTATAAATTTTAGGTATATTTTCGTTACAATTAAAAAATAAAATTAGTAAACAATATTTAGTAAGTAAAATTGATAGGCTTTCTGTAAGAAAAAGCTATCTCTAAATACAAATATATGAATAATTTTATGAGTTATTATGAATAACATGGGTAAACTAAATAAGGTTTCAATATAACTCATAAAATTATTCATATATTTGTATTTAGAGATAGCTTTTTCTTACAGAAAGCCTATCAATTAGAGTATAATCTATTGTTTTATATTGTTTTGTTGTACTTAGTATGTAATATTGATAAGAATAAGTAATTTATCAACTCTCTAGTACTAATTTATTATTAAACACCGTTAAATGTACCGCAGTGAACTCATTGTACCTCGCATATTGCTACATATACCATTGTTCACCTAATATGGGAAACAATATAAATCTAATTATATTTATTTGTTTAATTACAGCAAAAGAGAAAAAACTATTTTTAAATAATATATTTCATTATTGTATGAAAGAATAAAGGAGTATTATAAAAAAATTAAATTCATAAGTTATTAAAATTCTGTTGACATTATAAGTATATTAACTATTAAAGTAGTAAATACTAAATAAATTAACAAACATGATGACCTATTTAAATAATATGACAATAATGGTGGTGGTACAATTGACATTTACTTTATCATTGGAGCACTCGGAGCCACAATTCTTAAGGCTTGTGGTGAATGGACCGGACACTCCTATAGTCAACAATCCCTGTGCTCTCAAAATAGAGTCCAAAGGTTTCCAGTGCTTATATGACAAAATATCCAAATTAAACCCTGGTGACGTGGATACTCAATATTTGTGCTGTTTATCGTGGGTGGCCAGTGAGTGCTATTTTGATTTAGGACAGGTAGGTCTTTATTAAACATATTGTTTTATTTATTATGTATTTATCAATAGTTAAAAATTATTTATTAACAGGTCATGTGTACTGATAATGAGTATCAAGTAATGAGACATATTTTGGGTCACATAATTGCGATATACAGTTCCGGTCGGTGTAAGGCCTATCCATATAATCAAGGTATTAGAGTGTGTAGTGAAGTACTAGTATAATAATTTATTATTGATTTCTTTGATGTATATTTTATACAGAGATACACAGACTATACTAGTATAATATAATGAATATAAATGTTATTATTTTAAAAACAAAATTATTAAATTATAAATTACATTAGTAATGTAACATTACATTAGTTTTTGACATATATTTTTATTCCTGTATATAACACATGTATATCATTGCAATATTTATTGAATTAAACATTTATCGCAAATATTACAAATAAAACTTTTAATTTATATTTAATTAAGTGTTTCTATAGCTAAACACAGCAACTTTGTTGCTAACAGTGATCGCAAGTTAAATAAAAAATGTATTTCCTATTGTCTAGATCATTTATGACTATTTATTTGTAATAAAATATTAAGTTTACACATAATATCTTAATAAGCATTTAGAAACGGAAATAAAAAACAAACAAAATTTTTTTATATAAACTTATATAAAAAGATACTTTTCATTAACAACAAAGGTTTTAAAATTATTTGTTATACAATTTAATATTTTATACAAATAGTAAATATTGAATAATTTATAATATACCAAAACATTTTTACAATATGGAGCGGGATAAATTATTGAAATGGCCATTGTTACTATTTTGTGGTTTTCTAATAATTTTGTGTATTATAATAATGTGCATTGTATTTTCGGGATTATGGTTTACATAGGACAGTCCAAGATTAATATTTATTGTTATAAAATTGAACTTACATTTAAAATTATTATTATTATTTCCACTTGTTCATTAAACATTAAGCGTCATGGTCATTTAGCAACTTATTTTAGGTATAGTTTAATATGCCAATAATTAATTTTAAATTTAATATATTTTGTTTATTTTGATTTTCATTATTTAGCGCCCACAAAATTATAATCTAATATTATTTAATGGATTAACTAATTAAATTAACCAATATCACTTTATGTTATTTAAAACATATTTATAAATAATATATTTAAATATTGTTAAATGTATAATATTATTGATTAACTTAAAAATAATTAAAATTATTGTTATTTATTGTTTTATTGTTAATTACCAGTAATATGTTTAAGCATAATCAAAAATATTAAATGTAAATTATCAAATATAATATCATTTTAATAATATACTATACAAGGGAAATACAAAATTTATTCATATTTACAATTTAACCATTAAATGTATAACTGAATTTTAAATAGTTTCTTATTAATTTATAGATAAATTATCTTTAATTAATGAGTTTATTTTGAATATAAAATTAAGAAAATTTTATAAAATAAAATTTTAAACATTTTGCATTTCGCAAAATTCAAATATCTTAAGCCTTGAATGTCTAGTTTAATCAGCAAATTATAATTAGGAAACTGAATAAATTACTGCAACTAGATATATTAATTCATCATAATAAAAACAATAATGCATATTAGTTAAACATTTTATTATCTAAATATATGGATAATATTTTAAAAATTCATTATTTTCAGAAATATTTCTACAACGATTAACATAAAAATTAAATTGACATTCTTGTTTATAAATTATGTATATTTGAAATTAACTTTAAATTAAATATATAATTTTTCCATAATTTTTAATATTAATTACTGTACAATTATTTCTATATCTTGTATTAAATAAATAAAACTTTACTGGTGAAAAGTTATTTTAACATATTTTATGCTTATTTTAGTCTTATGGGCAATATTTAAAAAATATGGTGAAAATTAGATATAATAAATAATATAAATTATAAATTATTTACAAGTAAATTAGTTAATTTTTAATTCTAAACGTAAACAGTTTATTTACAATCAATTCAAATAAATCAAATTAATGACTAATTTAAATGATTCACTACATTATGAAATCTTATCAGGATATTTTTAGATATCAGATTATTTCTGAAACTAATAAATTATTAACTAAATCTATTGCACATAAGCTTTGAAATAATGATAAATAATAAATGAATTGTGATAGTACTACCCTAATACTGTCGAAGCTCTGAGTTGTGTACGACCTAATGCAGACCAAATCTGTACACAGTAGAGAATGTTCACAACAGGGAATGTCAACAACAAAAAAAGAATATTGCCAACTTTACCAATATCTGGCAATCAGGGTTTGAATATTGGATATTATGTTTTAATTAATCAAGAATTCTAGTACAGTATCTCATTCATACTTTTTTGTGATAGTTTTGTTAACTTTATCGATTTTATCTAGAATTTTCTTAGTAAATAATTGAACTTGTTAAATCGAATTAGTAGAAAATTTACATCAAATTACTTCGATATAATAAATAAAAATCTTATATACAATACAATTTCTCATTAATAGCAATAGATAATTGATAATACTAATAATAGTAATACTAATTAGTAACATTCATAATTTGTAATATAATATTCATTCATCAAAAACAGATAGCCATCTTAGGATGCATTATACAATAATTGACTGATCTCTTTATTTTGTGAAATAATTTTGATTTCAATGTTAGATTCACTTTATAATAATAGTAGGTAATAATTTATATATTATCGTTTATGCTCTTTAAAAAATTGAAGATAATTTCCAATTTTACTATTATTTTGTGACATTTTACACAACTCAGAGAGGAAAATAACACTAAATATTACTAAATGTGTCCACAGCATAGAGATATACACAGCATAGAAGTTGACAACAGGGAATGTTTTTAACATTACAGGTATAGGAAATCCGCCAAAAAATCAGGATTAGTTCACACCATAGAGCGATACACAACAGAGAGATTGACAACTCAGAGCTTCGACAGTACCTGTATACTGGTATAAGCTTATGAATTACAAACCTTGAAATAATATCAAAATGTTTGTTTACCCTGTGCATATTATTCAATAACTATTTAGAGTCTCTAAACAAATTAAAATTATTTATATTGTATTTGAAGTATAATTTATCATGGTCTCTTGTTTAGTATATTCTTAGCAAGTTATTCCTAAATAATTTATCATAGCATTTTTGTGAGACATTAACTTTTTCTAAAATAATTGATAATATTAATACATTAAATATTGCCGGTATATGACTGAATGATCATGGCCCAAAGTGCCTTACCACTCAAATAAAATACTAGACTATGATTTATATTGTATTACATTCTGAACAGGGTAATTAATATGTGACTTAGCACGCTGTATAATACTGTTTGAATAAGAATTAATTGTTAAAGCACTTTGAACCATACTTACTTATATAATAAAATAATTTAGTTACATAGCAAGCAAAATATAATTGAAATGTTAACCACCCATGGTGATTCACTTTGTGCTTATAACTTGCGGACAAATCAGTTGATCAACTAATTATTAGTTACAAAGTTATTTGACATTTTGATGAATTATATAACAATAATAATGAATCATACATACAATCAATACCATTACAAAAATAATGCAAGTTTTAAAAAAATCTTTTCTGATCAAATTGTTTAAAAATATTAGTAAAATGAAATAAAAATCCTATTAATTAATTAATTAATATTTTACAAGAGGTTAATTGATGGTGAATTGAGGATAATAATGCACAATTTATTATTTATATTGTTTCTTACAAGTTTATCATACTAGTAATGAAGTTTACTTGTAAAATTAAATTACAGGTATATTCATCCCCTGGTACAGAGTATTAATATTAGATAATAAATTAAAGTATATAAATAGATCCCTGTACCCACAATTTTTATAAGAAAAATAAATTGTTTTAACATTTACTATTGTTCAAAGCAAATAAATTTTTAAAAATATCAAAATGCCTAAAATTCAGCTATGTTTAGCACTGATGCTTGTGCTTGCTCACTATGTCTTATGTGAGACACCGTTTGAACAGTTAATTAAAAACAAATGTTTTTTAAAAGTTAAGGACGACGGTCTCAAATGTGTCAAGGACATTTCACCCGACTTTGACATCACCAAGGTGGATAAATTGGAGTTCGGTATTGAAAACCTCGAAAAACGGTGCTGCTCATTTTCCGTAGCCTACGACTGTCTCGTGAAAAATGGCAAGGTAAATTAATAGATCTTAATAATTAAGTATCATTATAAATTAAACCAAAATAAAAATAATTTTATAATGTATGTTAAAAATAACAATTCTAAATATATTGTTTTTAAAATTTTGCTAGATAATTCAAATTATTTTTAACATTTTTAGGCCAAGTGCCCGGCTGAAGGTGATGATAAATATTCAGATTTGGAAACCATACTGAATAATGTTAAAAAGGCCCTGGATGATGATATGTGTAAGGATCATAAATATAAACCTGATCAAACTAAATGCAGCGGGGCATCAAGTTTAATTTACAGCACTATTATCATGATAGTTTCAGTAGCATTTGCTAAATTATTTTCTTAAATTGATTTGAAACGAATTAATTAAAGTTTAATTATAAACCATAAATTATAAATGATTTAAATGTCAATACAAATATTTATTTATTTAACCAATTAATAAAAAAGATTAATTTCAGCATTTACATATTGAATAAAATAATATTGTATACATTGTATAACAATGTCATTTTGCCTAAATTCAATAAATTTAATGGCATTTCGTATAGTTCTCATCAATATTTTCAACAAAAAAAATAAAAATATTATTGTACGTATCATTAAAACATTGCTAAACTTATACAATCAATCTTTGATGATTAAACATTTTTATAAGCTAGACATTTAAAGTGAATATAAATATTCATTATTTTAAATATTAATTATGCATTTGTTCATTATTATACAACATAATTTTCTTTTAAAACAAGTTTTATGAACAATTGTTTAATTGAATAATTTGCTATTTTTAATTTTGAGTAGTTTTAATAACAAGTGGACGAAAATATTACGCTTGCTAAAACAATATTAAATTTGAATTTATTTGAACAATATATTACTTATACATTTGTGGTTATTTTCAATATTTGTATCATTTTATGTATAATTATTATAAAAGCAATACTACATTCAATTAAACACAATGCGAACACTATTAATAAAAGACCAAGTTTATTGTTATTAAACATCGCTTTTTCTGATTTAATTATGTGTTTTGCAGTTTACCCAATTTTTATTTTGATCCAATTGCTTAATAATTATATAACCATGAAAATATATGTTTTAACAATACTTTCATCGTTTAGTACATATTGTGCCGTACTTTCATTATCGTATTTGTCGGCGATTCACTCACACAGGGATGGCTACTGTTTGGACAGTATGTTTGGGCCAAACACTACGTACCCAGAAATGCGAACAATTGCGAACATAAGGGGGGGAGGGGGTTAAGATTTCCCAAAAAGTGCGAACGTAATATGTGAATCACCCCTAAAGTAAAATTTTTTTAATTACTTTAGTGCGTGATAAAACTTATATTTATATATTTTTTGAAAGTACAATGGATACATATTTACGTGTACCATTTTTGTCTATTGTTTACTAAATGAATAAATAAAGTCTAAAGTGATACAATTGATAATAACAAACATTTGTACTCAATTGATTAAATGTTTATCTATAAGAGTACTCATTGTGTAATCTATTGGTGTTACCTGAGCTAATCGGTAGTGTTTAATACAAATACTGAATATAAGTATCACTTAATTTATATCAATATCTCCACTAATAGTTGATTTCAATCTTAATAGGAAAGTGTGTACTTTCAAGGTTTTAAAGGTACTGTATACTTTGAACAACTAGATCTACAACTTTAACAGTTAGATTTCACGTGAAAATGTGTTGCATATTTAATAATACTTAATATTGTGTCATATAATACATCAGATAATTAGCTATAAAAATAAATATTATCAATATTCGTGAGAAAATAGTTTTATTTAAAAATTATTATTTTGAGAAATGATTGTTTTTCAAAAGTTTTATTCAAAATATAACTTTCAGTGCAATCAACTCAAACTTATTCAGTAATTCACAAATATATTGATATCAATTTTAATGATTTAGATGCAATAAAAATTTTAATCACTTCTAAGACATGCATTATATACTGTATTTGACTAATATAGTAAAATAATTATAATTGATGAAATAATGAAAACAGGAAAAAGCAAATAAGTTTAATTGACAATTTTAGTTTATGAAATACTGACATTCAGTGTGACCAACCGTCCTTTATTGGAGAGGACAGTCCTCTATTTTTGTATTTGTCCTGAGTTTTATGAGAGAAATAGTGGACATTGAATGTCCTTTATTTGTGAAAATTATCAAATGTTTTATTTAGAAAAATAATTGCAGCATAAAACTGCTATGTACACTGAATTTCACATTATAATTATAATAAAATACATCATTTAACTAAATTATATTTAAGTGCAGCAAATTTATAGGAAAATATGAAAAAACTAATACAAAACTAGTTAACATTTTCTGATGTTAGTGAGATGAACAGAAAAAATATTTTCAAAAAATTGTAATCTAATTCCACTATAAAATATGTTGTCCACTATTTGTCCTCCATTTATTCAATTATTTTATCAAAATGTCCACTAATTACAAAACTTGAGTTGGTCACACTGCTGACATTACACGTATACAATAGTTGATTAAGATTAAACCTAAAACTTACGTGATTACTGCCATAATACAAAATTTTAATTTTAAAAAAATTTATAAACATAATTGTGTTCATTGCATTTTTAAAATATAATATAATTATGATTACAGAGCTTATTATGAATGAAAGCTCAAATACATTTATCTACTTAATTAATATAATGTAACTTGTGTATTTTAAGACAAATAAAATTCATATTTAGTTAGTCGGATACAATCTGTTGAGCAATGGGTCCATAGTTTGCTGCCACACCTCATACCCCAACTCATTGAGGTGTACGCCGTCCGGGGTATACAGGTTTGTGTCCTGTTTGTGGTCACTATTGAGAAGGTGTGACCACATGTCCAGAAAGAATATATTCTTGTCATTATCCAACCCTTTAAGTAATGCATTATGTTGCTGCAATTTCTCATTCACCCCGGGTATAGCCATTGGCATATGGCCCACAAATATGATCTTGGTTGTAGACATTTTCTCTAATAATTGTTTTACAACAACTTGTATACCAATAAACACATCATCCACGGTATCGTTTGTGTGCCAAAAATTATTTCCACCTTGGTAATAGAAATATTTTCAATTCATAANTATGATCTTGGTTGTAGACATTTTCTCTAATAATTGTTTTACAACAACTTGTATACCAATAAACACATCATCCACGGTATCGTTTGTGTGCCAAAAATTATTTCCACCTTGGTAATAGAAATATTTTGAATTCATAAATATCATATTACTGTTATGATATTATCATATCACTCGTTATCATATTACTGGGTTACTGTACTAACCCATGGTTATAACCGTGACATTAGGTGTGAGTCCGTCGAACTCCCGGTCCTGTATTCTGTAGATTAGATTCCTGGTGTTGTCACCAGCGATGCCGTAATTGTAGGCATGCCTGGGTGTGTAGTGTTTGGCCCAAACGGGTTCACCCAATATCAGCCAAAACTGAGTGAGTGAGTCGCCCACGAAGATGACCCTCTCATCTGCTTTGTGTCTACGGGTTTGGTTGACTAGATTCTGGTGCTCCACCTGCCAGAGAGCACCGTCACCTGGATGTGGGTCCCATGGATTGGTTTGCGCCACAGTCTCACCAATTGATAAAATAAGTGATAGTATTGTAATGATTAGCATTATATACTCGAAATGGTATGTATGCTTAAAGATGTTAAATGCTAATTTAATTGTTAGTTGTATTAAACAATGTACTTATATACTTTAGAAATGTTGTATATTATCTCAATAATAATTTATTATTTTAGTAATTGCCCTGATTAAATAAAATTTTACACTCGTGTGCACTATTGAGCCTAATAATATGTGTTGATATGAATTATGTTTGATAGGTAATAAGAAGCTAGAAAATATAATACTAAATAATACAGATATTAGTTTGTTATCCAATAATTATAACAAACTAAATATTTTATCAATTACAACTGTATGTTCATTCAAGGATATTTGTAAATGAACTAAGTACACATTTTTAATTAATCTGTGATTAATAATCACTTTACTTATTTTAATTGTTATATTTATACAGGATATGAATATATGAATATTGTCAAACAATGCATTAAAAACTTGTAATATATTTTTATTTTATAATAACATTTAACAAATTATTTTTGCTTACATAAAATAAGACAGATTATAAAAATAATTTAGAAAATAATTACATGAGTTTTATAAGAGTGTAGAAAATATATTAATAAAAATATTCTTAAAATGTATAATGTAAATAGTTTGAATAAGATTTTATATAATAATTGAGTTAACTTTCATCTAATTTCAATGTAAATGACTTTCAGTATAACAGACACTAACATAAAAATGGCCAAAACATGGAGCAAATCATGTTTGGATACAAACTGTTAAGCAAAAGGTCCATAGTTTGCTGCCATACCTCATACCTCAACTCATTCAGGTGGACGCCGTCCGGGAGATACAGGTTTAGGTTCTGATTGCGGTGACTGTCCACAAAGTGTGACCACATGTCCAGAAAGTAGACATTCCTGTTATTAGCAAAAAGTTATCTATTTTAATAATAGATCCAAAATTAGTAATTAATAGCAATTTCATGATTACTTAATTTGATAATTAATTATTTATTGTTTATTTGTAAAGTAACTTATTAGCAAAATATTTAAGTCCCCTTTATTGTCATGTCTAGACTTTGTACAAGTTAATTATATTTAATCAAAATATAGTCAGTTGTTTATTGTTTACATACTTGTAAAATTAAAATAATACTGGATTATTATATTGTATTTGATTTAATAGAAATAAATAAATAGCTTTTTAATATACCAGTATAACCTTTGTTGATATATTAAATAATTATAATTTTTAAAACACTAAATATGGTATAAAAGATATTTATATAGAATCACAAAAAATAATACATTAAATATTAAATTTAATAATATTGTTAAATTA